GAAAAAAAGAAAAACAAAAGCAAAAGAAATGCATGTTTTAGAATTTTATATCCTAACATGATAGTTTTTTTTAATCTAAAGGATTTTTACTGTTTTAGTACATTTTAAGATGATATTTAGATGCTTTTACATTGAGTTGTTACACATAATTTTCCAATAATGAGAAATACACTAGCATTTTTACACAGAACATGTAGTTGTCAAGAACAGGTTACTGATATCAGATAGGAGAAGCTTTAAAGGGGTTCAGAGGGAACAGTTTGTCCGAAATGTCTGACTATTGTGTTTGAGTACTTTATTTTTGCATTTGAATATGGAGGTGGAAGGGAGTTTGGAAAATTCACTTTAAGCAAAATAATTGTACAAGTGATTGATTACAAATATGCTTTAGTTTTTTTAATAAAGTCATTCATCTTAAAGAACCTTTAATAGTCGATATTTTACTTATTTTAGTTATGATTTTAGTTATTCTAGTTACCTGAAATTTTTTTTAAACAAAAGTTAAACTTTTTCCGTATAATCAATTCAAATTTTTTTTTTAAGTAAGAGTCTCACTCTGCTACCAGACTGGAGTGCAGTGGCATGCTCACAGCCAATACAGCCTCGACCTGCTGGACTCAGGTGATTCTTTCACCTCAGCCTTCCAAGTAGCTGGAACTACAGGTGCGTGCCCCCATGTACAGCTAATTTTTTTATTTATTGTAGAAATGAGGTCTCATCAAATTGCCAGCCTGCTCTAGAACCTTTGGACTCAGGCAATCTTCTCCAACTCAGATTTTTAATGAGCATTTTTATAACCATTTGTAACATTGTTGCTAATTTTATTGTTTTAACATTTTCATAAGGTTTATTCTATTTAATAGTTATATTTGAACATTACTGTAGTATTCTTTGAAAAATTGGTGTAGGGCAGAGGCCTCCGGGCCCAACTGAATGTCGAGGTGGGAGGAGATGCAGACCCCGAAGGACAGCTGCACCATGTCGCACATGGTGGCCGGTTGTAGCAGCAGTGACCACACTCACCAGGTCCAGGGGAAAGCCTACTATTGCAGGGATATCATGATAACACATTTTGAACCTTCTGTCTCCTTTGAGGGCCTTTGCAGTGAGGCTCGAGACTTGTGTTCTTTTGACAATGAACAACTTTTCACCATGAAGTGCATAAATGAGAAAAGAGATCCCTGTACAGTATCATCTCAGTTGGAGTCAGAAGCGATCTTTAGGCTTTACAAGCACTAAACAAGGATTCTGAACTCTTGATCCATGTATTCCCTTGTGCACCAGAATGTCCAAGAATGCCTGTCCAGGAGAAGATAAATCCATCTATCACCGAGGTGCATGTCGCTAGAGAAAGTTTCATTGTGCAAATGGCCACACTTTCCAAGCCAAGTGATTCAATAGGTGAGCTCACTGTGCCATCTGCACAGACTGAATATAGGGACTCGAATGCAGGGTATGTATGTGCATCAACTGCAAACTCCTGGTCCATAAGAAGTGTCATAAACTTGTCACAATTCAATGTGGGTGGCATTCTTTGCCACCGGAACCAATGGTGCCCATGGATCATTCACTTATTAAGACCTTGCACAGACAAGTCACGAGAGCTTAGACCAAGTTGGTGAGGTAAAGGAGGCAATGAACACGAGGGAAAGTGGCAAAGCTTCATCCAGTTTAGGTTTTCAGAGTTTTGATTTGCTCTGGGTAATAGGAAGAGGAAGTTATGCCAAAGTACTGTTGGTTCGACTAAAAAAGGCAGATCGCATTTATGCAATGAAAGTTGTGAAGAAAGAGCTTGCCAATGATGATGAGGGTATTGGTTGGGTGCAGACAGAGAAGCATGTATTTGAGAGAGCATCCAATCATCCTTTTCTTGTCAGGATGCATTCTTGTTTTCACACAGAAAACAGATTGCTTTGTTATAGGGTATGTAAGTGGAGGAGATCTAACATTTCATATGCAATGACAGATAAAACTTCTTGAAGAACATGCTAGGTTTCACTCTGTAGAAATCAGTCTAGCATTAAATATCTTCATGAGCGAGGAATAACTTAAAGAGACTTAAAATTAGGCAATATATCACTGAACTCCAAAGGGTACATTAAGCTCACCGACTATGGCATGTGTAAGGAAGGATTACTGCCAGGAGATACAACCAGCACCTTGTGTGGCACTCCTAATTACAATGCTCCTGAGATTTTAAGAGGCAAAGATTATGGTTTCAGTGTTGACTGGTGGGCTCTTGAAGTGATGAAATGATGGCAGGAAGGTCTCCACTTGATATTGTTGGGAGCTCTGATAACCCTGATCAGAACTCAGAGGATTATCTCTTCCAAGTTATTTTGGAAAAAACAAATTCACATACCACATTTTCTCTCTGTAAAAGCTGCAAGTGCCCTGAAAAATTTTCTCAACAAGGATTCAAAGGAACTATGGGGCTGTCACCCACAAACAGGATTTTCTGATGATTCAAGGACACCCATTCTTCTAAAATGTTGATTGAGAGAAGATGGAGCAAAAGCAGGTGGTACCTCCCTTTAAGCCAAATATTTCTGGGGAATATAGTTTAGAAAACTTTGATGCTCAGTTTACTAATGAACCTGTTCAGTTCACTCCAGATGGCGATGACACTGTAAAGAAGATTGATCAATCCAAATTTGAAGGTTTTGAGTATATCAATCCTCTTTTTATGTCTGCAGAAGAGTGTGTCTGATCCTCATTTTCCAACTATGTATTCTGCTCATGTTGTGATGCATGAAAAATCTTGTTACCAGCCTGGATACAATTTTTTATTTTATATTTGCCATTCACCAAAAAAAAAAAAAAAAAACCCACAAAAAATCACTCAATCTCTTATTGTAAACTGTCACTATTATATCTGTTTAACTATGAAAAAGAAATTAAAACTAGCTTT